TCAAATTAACACTTAGCACATTGTTATTTAATATCCGCAGTAACGCTTCAATCCTCTTACTCCATCTCTTTTCAATTCTCATCATCTCTTTAATCCTTTTCCTCCATCTCTTTTCGACTCTCATCAAATCTTCAATCCTCTTCCTCCATCTCTTTTCAATCCTCTTCCTACTTCTTCACTCTTCAATCTCGAATTATAATGTTTGTTTCTTTACTATGACTGTCCAGTTTTACAGTATTTGTTTTTACGAGGATGATTCGGTAGATTTCACAACAACAATGGGATTCTTTTCCTTCTTTCTCTCGCGAGAACTTCTTCAATCAGAAGCACAAAAAAAGGAAGAAGCGTATGTTTTTTGTTTGTTTGAAAAGAAATACACGAGTTTTAGCAGTTTTTGAAATGAATCGATTGGATTCGACCCATTTGGCTTTTGGGACACTCCAATTAACTTTTAACAGACCAAAACCAAAATCCAAAAAGGATCCTATACTTTTCTTCATACCATACTTGTAGTATAAATGGGTCTATATCGAAATCCCGACAACCATACTCCCGACGGTATCAAAATCTTCTACTTACGAAGTAAATTCTTATTATTATCAAGTATAAATATGTAAAATGAAGCGACAAATGGAAATTTGATGCTGAATGGAATTCGCAAAAGCAGCAAACAGGAATCCGCGAACGCAGACGTTATTTAATACGAAACGAGATAGTGTGTTGTCTGTGGATGATGCTGAGCCTTGAACTTCTGCTCGTCGTGTAATCTTCATGGACGCGCGGTTTACCATCACCCGTGTGGTCTCTGCACCTTTAAAAGTCAAGCGTCCGAATGAAAAGCAAACGGATCGAACATAATTACCACACACACCGTACAAAAATAATCGTTTGCTTTTGACCCAAAAAAAATAATAAATGAAATAAACAAATATCCTTGCAACGTTTATTTTCTTTTACGATGGACCAGTCCGATAAAATACACAGTAGCCGCAGCTGAATTTTTAGATCTTCTCAAATATCAGCTGCAAATTAGCGACGTGGGAAATCTTATTTTTTTCATTCTTGCCGCTCGTTTTGATGAATAAATTTACGTTTTCTTTCATCGTCAATTTGTAAATGAGATTTTCTAGTAATTAATGGACTCCTTCGAGGCCTATTATTGTTTCTTTGTTTGGTATGTGATTTTTTGGCAGGAAAGTAAATTCTTAATGATTTGCTTTCTAAATTTACTTGATTTATATTAAAAAAAATGGTATAAAAAAATGCTTCTTTCCAAATAAACCTAATTATGAATTATTATTGTGATAATAATTGTTATTTTTTACTAATTGCTATTGAAATTATTAGAAAATCGTTCCTTTTTTTTAATCCATTTTAAAATTTGATGCTTGTTGGTTTCTAGTTTTATTTAAATACAAAAATTATGAAAATGTTAAATCCAAAATTTAATATGTAATTAAATAATTTTTTTTCTTTGTTTTGAAAACTTTATAGATATTAAAACAATGTGATTTTTATACAAATTGTTATTAAATAATAATACTTATTAATAATAAAAATAAATGAGAAATTATAGGATTTTATAATAATTTAATAAATAATGTAGAGATTTATCGAAAAAAAATTGTCTAATATAATTTATCATATTTTCAAAATTAACTTTAAAACAGATAAACTTTACTATACTTAATAATGTGTTTTTCATTATGTATCTTAATTAATAACTCAAATTTTTGCGATTTTATGATCGATTTTATGAGATTTAAGAAATCTATTTTTTTAAATAAACATGTGTATTTGATATAACTATTGAATAGTAATGTTAATTAAATACAAATATATGTGGTTTTTTCATGTCTTTTCTTTAATTAATCTTTAATCACGTATGTTAATTATAATATGCAAATTAAAGACAAAAGTATTGCCTTTCAACTATCTGATTTGCGCTATAATATGCTAATATTTATTTACAATTGATCCATTTTATGAGTTCGTTTAAATTATTAAACAAGTTTATTGGTTGTAGTTTTATCTGATATGCACTAAATATACATATTAATATATTCAAAGTAATGTATAAATAACTGAGATATATTAAGAATATATAATAGAATCCAGTAATAATTGAAAATATATTGTTTACTTTTGTTTGGCATTTTATAATAATTTTATTGTGAAAATATACGCATGTTGAATGTAATTTATCGAAATCGTGAATGATTTTTGTTGAATTCTATTTTTTATTTATATTTGTTCTAAAGGCCAAATCTTTTTTTTATGTTTTATAAACAACTAAGATGTAATAAAATGAAGTTACAATTGCAAAACGTTTTTTTTATAAATTGTAGAAATAATTGAGATGTAACAAATTGTGAAATGTCAAGTTGTTTTAGGTGCAAAATGTAATTTATCGAAATCTCGAACTATTGAACTGATTTTTGTTGAATTCTTATTATTTTAATTTTATATTTATTTATTCTAAAGCCACTTTTTTTCAAATTTTATAAACAACTAAGATGTAACAATTGAAATATTTTTTAAACAAATTGTTTATTAAGATATATTAAAATTATATTGCAAAATCAAGTTACATTTTTTTTTTCCTATAAATTGTAGAAATTATTGAGATGTATGCAACAAAAACAAATAACAAGTGAAAAAAAAAACTGTTTATTTTGTGAATTACAATTTTGTCTTCAAGTATGTTTTAAAATGTATACATAATCAAGATATATGGTATTATTAATTTTTTTTTGTCATTTTATTAAAAAAAAAACTTTAATGTCAGTTTTATTATATTTTTTACACATACCTATAATGATGGGTATATAACAAAATCAAGTAACAGTTGAAAACAAATTACTTATTTGGTATTTTATACAGATTTAATTGTGAAATGTGAAATGAAGAACGTTAGATAATGTTTATAAAATAAGTAAGAATACAAAAAAAAAATAACGTCTGTAAGTAAATAAATAAAATAAAAGCTGAAAAAGAACGAATAATATGACGAATCATTTATATGCACGATTTTTGTCTTGATGTATTTTTATATTTGCTTTAATTATAATTTTCTTGTAATTTTGTTCATAAATAACTTAGTTTTATGTATTAAAATCAAGTGACAATTGAAAACAAATTATTTATTTGGTATTTTATACGGCTTTCATTGCGAAATATTAAAAGAAGAACGTTTAATATTTTGAATATAAGTAAGATTTCAAAAATAAATAAAAAATAGTAAAGTCTGTGTATAAATAAAATAAAAGATGAAAACGGAGAAATTACAGAAATACTTTATTTTTGGTGAATTTCTATTTTAAAAAAATTGCTCCAAAGTAGTTTTATGTAATAAAATCAAGTGACAATTGAAAACCAATTATTTATTTTGTATTTTATACAGCTTTCATTGTAAAATGACAAATGAAGAACGTTAGATAATGTTTAAAAAATAAGTAAGAATACAAAAAAAATAACGTCTGTATGTAAATAAATAAAATATAAGCTGAAAAAAAAACGAATAATATGACGAATCATTTTTATGCACAATTTTTGTGTTGATGTTTTTTTATATTTGCTCTAATTACAATTTTCTTATAATTTTGTACATAAATAACTTAGTTGTATGTATTAAAATCAAGTGACAATTGAAAACAAATTATATATTTGGTATTTTATACAGCTTTCATTGCGAAATATTAAAAGAACGTTAGATAATATTTTTAATATAAGTACGATTTCAAAAAGAAATTAAAAGTAGTAAAGTCTGTGTGTAAATAAAATAAAAGATGAAAACGGAGAAATTACAGAACTACTCATTTTTTGGTGAATTTCTATTTAAAAAATTGCACCAAAGTAGTTTTATGTAATGAAATCATGTGACAATTGAAAACCAATTATTTATTTTGTATTTTATACAGCTTACATTGTGAAATCTCAAATGAAGAACGTTAGATAATATTTCTAATATAAGGAAGATTTCAGAAAGAAATAAAAAATAGTAAAGTCTATGTGTAAATAAAATAAAAGATGAAAACGGAGAAATTGCAAAACTACATTATTTTTGGTGAATTTCTATTTAAAAAAATAGCTGGAAAGACAGTTTTATTGTAATTTTATACATAATTATCATCTATGGTGAATGTAAAGCATGTAACAAATTTTTTTAACACTTTGACATACGAATAAAATATAAGTTTTTTAATGAAAAAATACGTCGATTTTGTACAGTTCCTTTAGTTTACAATAATTGTTTCATTGGTAAATAATTCTACACATTTAAAACGTAATTAATTGAAAATTGTAAAATAAACTTTAGACTGAGAAGTATGTAATAAAATCAAGTAACAATGCTTTAAAACAAATTATTTATTTGGCATTTTATACTGCTTTCATTGTGAAATGTCAAATGAAGAACGTTAGATAATATTTCTAATATAAGTAAGACTAGAAAAAAAAAATAAGCAAAATAATAGTAAAGTCAGTGTATAATTAAATAAAAATAAAAGCTGAAAATGGAGGAATTATATAACGGATCATTTTTCTGCAGACCCGAGACCCGAGACCCGAGTCACAATTGAAAGTACACGGCCTCAGCCTCGGCGAGATTAGAACACGACAGTGAGATAATATGCCACGGTGAGTGTATTATATAACGCAAAAAGCGAATTCGTGCGCGGATCTGCAAACGCATGCGTTCAACAATTGTAACAAAACATCAACAAAATAATAATAATGACAAGAAGAAATAATAATTTAAGAAAATATTTTTATATGTAAGATATGAGAGAGTTAACTGGAAGAGTGAGGGAGATAGATCCAAAATCTAACGACAAGAATAAATAGTGATATAAAAAACAATGTAAAAGAACAACAAGACAAGGTAGAATTGACTGAAAGAGTGAGTGAATGAGTGAGAGACGAGGAACAACGGGAGGAGAAAAAGAAAGAGGCTTTTCGGTCGGCGGTGGCGAGCGGAATGGGCCGACGCGTTTTACTTTCATATCGTCGTATATACTTCTTTCACATTTGGACGAGGCCTTCTTGAAAACCAGCCGAGGTCCAGAAGCCGACGCGAGTCAGTGAATGTCGCGCGACCCGAACGGTGCGTCAGGACAGTAACCCACGCGATGTTTTCCCTGGACGAAAGTAGTTAGTGATCGTAACAAAACAAAACATCAACAAGAACGACAAAGAAATTTACAAGAAAATTACAATTCGAATAAACAAACAAACAAACAAAAAAAAAGAAAATAAACGTGCCACATTCCAAAAGGAAAACGTCGATTCATTCCTGCCTAAGGATATTATGGATATTGATGAGGATAAATTCTATAGATGTAAGTTTTCCTTTTTATTTCTTCAGCTAACGTAATTACAAAAGCGCTTTTAACTTTCCACCGCGGATATTTCATTAGCATTATTATTATTACCATTGCCGGTTAGAAAATGCGAAGAAGTGTGGAAATTTATATAAAAATTGATAAACTTTCAAATTTCGCGGTTGGAAAATACGACAGTTTTAAACTTGCAATTACTATAGAAACGCTAATTGATAGATTATCGGTGACAATTTGATAATCTGTAGGTTAACAACAACAAGAAATGACCTTGCGCGATAAAGCAGGAAGAGAATTTTGTTGCATATGTTAATTAACGCGTTTCTTTAGTTCTGTTTTTGGTAACTGTTGTATTTCGAATATGATTATGGCATGCGTTATGTAAGGATAAGGGAGACACCTCCACAAATTACGTGAAATATGCTTAAAAAGTGAACATTTGTTCATAAATATTTTGCTTACACCATTCCAATTTCATTTACATATAAATTATAGATGATGAAGAAGTGTTATTATGTAATTGCAATGTGTTTCTTCCTTTAAATAACAGAGTTAAAGGAAGAGAATTTTCTGTAGATTTAACGAATTAGCAGTTGATTTTAAATATCATTATTTTATGAAGTAATTTAATTTTTATTTGTCAAGTAGAAAATAACGATATTTCTTTGTTTAATGAAATATCTGAGTTAAGAAAAAACTTATTTATTTTTATTTATTTAATTAAAAGTTTAATAATTATGTAACTTTTTGTTACGAGGAAGTTAATTTCTATTAAATAAATGTTATTTATATATTGATTTTAAATATCAGAATTATAAGAAGAGATTTATTTGTAAATTTAGCAATTATTAAGATGAAAAAACGTTACGAAATAATACCATTATTATTAATTATTACTTATTATTTTTGTTTATTATCAGACTTAAAAGATTTTTTATATTTAGTAATTTTTTACTTTTATTATTTAGTAATACCCGGATTAGAGTTGATACCTAATTATATATAATCTACATTCCAAATCAACGAACATTTCCATAATTTTAATTCGTTTATAATAGTTACATTTTTCTTTCATTCAAAAAAAAAGCAAAACTCAATTTATTTTATAACTCATTCAATTTATATATTCTTTGTCTTAAATAGAATAATTTGAACTAAAATGTATTGCTTACATATAAATTCTACACTATTTGCACTCTGAGACAATCAAGTCTCTTTATATAATCGTTCTTTTTAAATATTTATATTTAACAATTAAATCTGTTTATTAATGAAGCAAACAGATTTCAAAAGTGATTGTATTTTCTCTTTTTTTTTGTTTGTTTAAAGTACATAAATGGAGTCAATTAATTAAAGCTATTTGTTTGTGTGTAAGATAGTAGAGGACATTAAATTATGAAATTACAGCTTATTTCATAATTTAATTACAATTCATTTACAAAATAGCTGGATGTGCTTTTTTTGGTATTAAGTAATTAATTTTAAGTGCTCGAAAATGTAGTGTGAGAGATTTGAAATGAAAGAAGAGAAGTTGAGTAATTCATGTTAATTCTATCATAAAAATTGTATTTTGTTACTTTGTTCAAATATTTATAGGTTTCATAACAATAATTAGATGTTTTTATAATTGTTTTAAATTATTATATTTATAAAATTTATAATTTAATACAATAATAGAGAAAATTTAATAGAGAAAAGAAATTAATACAAGTTTTGTAAATAATTTAATTTGATATTTTTTATGTATTACAGTGTGCAAATGATTCTTGAATTTCAATAATTTATAATAATAATTTAATAGAATTACTGAAAATTATTTAAGTTTAAGAATTCATAAATTTCTTATACAAAGTTTAAATTATATGACAGTTTGAAAAATGATTGTATTTATAAATTTTACAATAATTAAAAAACTATTTTTTGTAGTTTTCAAACTTAACTTTAATGACTTAAATTACTTTGTTAATTAATATCAAAATGTATTAATAATAAATTAAACGGTTTTATATGTTTTTTTGTGTGTGAGTTTATTTATTATGAAATATGGTGGGATTAAGGCGTTTGTAATGTGGTTCATTTATGGTCAATGCGAACTGGAAAATGTCCTTAATTAAGATACAAGGATGGGCGATAAGTGGTGTCGAAAGATCAATTTAATTTGCATATCAATTCCGAATACAAAAAATATAGTATATAAAAGAATGTTCATAATTGCAAAAAAAAACCTTCCAAATGGACAAAGACACATTCCAAACGATTAATCAGATTACTTATTGGGTATTGTGTGTAAGTACAAAGATTAATGATTTCACCTGTTACTCACAATAAGTCTTACATTAATTGCATGTATTTTATAAATACAATAATACCTCGCAATATATCGACTTCTATTAGTGCGATTTCACTATAGTCTGATTAGATAATTCCAACAAGAAGTAATACACAAAATTATTATACATAAATTGTCGTTTTTGTCAAGTTTATTTTTGTGTGGTTTACTTTTCTATATATTTAGATTTGTTCCGTTTCAAATAGTCCAGAAGTCGCACTATGCGAGGTAAATTCTAACAAAAATCTTACACATTTTTTTTATACATAAAAGATGCTTTCACTTATTGTGCGGTTTATTTTTCTATATATTTAAAATAATCAGATTTCAAGCAGTATGAAATTCTCACTATGCGAGGTATTGATGTAAGTGTAATGTAGTATTTGATAAATACAGCAATACCTCGCATAGTGCGACATCTATTAGTACGGTTTTACTATAGTCCGGTTGGAAAATTTCAAAATAAACAAAATTTTAATTGAGCAAAGTAATTTCAACAAAAAGTACTACACAAAATTATTATATTTTATACATAAATGTTTGTTCTTTTTGTACCGTTTACTTTTATATATATTTAGATTAGTCCGCTTTCAAATAGTCCGGATCTCGTACTATGCGAGGTAAATTCTAAAAAATCTTAGACATTTTTTTTATACAATCAAGTCTTTTTAGTGCAGTTTATTTTTCTATATGTTTAGATTAGTTTCAAACAGCTCGGAATCCGCACTATGCGAGGTATTAATGTAAGTGTAATATAGTATTTGATAAATAAGTAATACTTCGCATTGTGCGGCTTTCATCGAACCGTATTCACTATAGTCCAATTTGAAAATTTCAGAAGTAACTAATTAAATTCAACAAAATAAATTCTAAATAATCGTCTAGTTTCTTTTTGTGTGTTTTTTTGTTTGTATGTGTTTAGATTAGTCCGGTATTAAACAGTCCGAAATTCGCACTATACGAGGTTTGTAATATAGTATTTGTTAAATGTATATGTAAACAATGAAAGCAATACCTCGCATAGTGCGGTTTTCATTAGTCCGGATTCAGTATAGTCCAATTTGAAAATTTCAAAATTAAGTAATTTAATTGAACAAAATAAATTCTACAAAATCGTCAAGTTTCTTTTTATGTGGTTTATTTTTGTATGTATTTAGATAAGTCCGGTTTCAAACAGTCCGGAATTCGTATTATACGAGGTTTGTAATATAGTATTTGATAAATGTATAGGTAAACAATGAAAGCAATACCTCGCACAGTGCGGCTTCCATCAGTCTGGATTCAGTATAGTCCAATTTGAAAATTTGAAAATTAACTAATTTATTTGAACAAAATAAATTCTAAAAAAATCGTCAAGTTTTTTTTTGTGTGTTTTTAGTATGTGTTTAGTTTAGTCCGGTTTCAAGTAGTCCGGAATTCGTATACGAGGTTTGTAATATAGTATTTCATAAATGTATATGTATACAAATAAGGCAATACCTCGCACAGTGCGGCTTCCATCAGTCCGGATTCAGTATAGTCCAATTTGAAAATTTCAAAATTAAGTAATTTAATTGAACAAAATAAATTCTAAAAAATCGTCAAGTTTCTTTTCATGTGGTTTATTTTTGTATGTATTTAGATAAGTCCGGTTTCAAACAGTCCGGAATTCGTATTATACGAGGTTTGTAATATAGCATTTGATAAATGTATATGTAAACACATAAAGCAATACCTCAGATAGTGCGGCTTCCATCAATCCGGATTCAGTATAGTCCAATAGGAAAATTTCAAAACTAACTAATTTAATTGAACAAAACAAATTCTAAAAATAGTCAAGTTTCTTTTTATGCGGTTTATTTTTGTGTGGAACCCGTACTATGCGAGGTATTGTTGTAAATGAAATTTATAGTAAAACGCAAATTCATTCTGCGTATGAAAATCTTACTTTTTTATAATGTAATTGAGCCGAAAACCAGTAATTTTCTGTAAATTATATAAACGGTAAATAATGAGGCGTATTATGATGTACCCTTGGAGGCGAATTCAATTACGCTAATAACACAGGTATTTAATTTTTGTGGTAAATTCATATTCATCGTCATCGGGTGATTAGAATAATGCGTATTGGATAACCGACATTTTCAATTGGGCGTATTTTAAAGACAATTAGAGAAATCATCTTATGATGATGATTATGGATAATAATGTTATAAGCAGGAGCTGAAAAAAAAAAGGAATGCATAACCGTATCGGGTAATTAAAAACTACTTTCTACGGTTTGATTTTTGCTCTCCTTAACGAGAACCTCTTCACTTCACATCGAAAACGCCAATCAAATCTTATGAGTAACGACGACAGCGTTATGTAAAGTTTAATTTTTAAAGCTTTCATTTATTGCAAATATAACCGTCTAATGGGTTTAAAATATGGACATAAATATGGAAATACCAGAAAAAAATCAATATTAAAACATGTAAAAGTATTTTTTTGTCTACATAATATGAAAGGTTAAACAATTGGTGTATTTCATTCATATATTAAGTAAATTTTCATTCATTGTATACATTTATATTTTCCATCTTTTCTATAAATAAGAAAGTATAAAAATTAATGTAGGCGTTAATGAAAATTTTAGTAATAACAAATCTATATTATTCATAGTTTTTGCGCCTTGAAAAATATATTAATT